GGCATGTAGTCTGGTGTAGAATCCCCTGAGCTGACAGATACTCCCCAAGTGTTCTGTTGGTATACTCTGTCCCATTATCCGACCTCAACACCTTTACTACTGCACAATACTGAGTCTGGATGTGCTTATGAAAATCTTTAAAACAGCCAACTACATCACTTTTGTTTTTCATAAGATACACCCAAGTGACTCTAGAGAAGCAATCAATAAATGTAACAAAAAACTTGCATCCATTTATAGAGTTTACTGGGCAGGGTCCCCATACATCAGAGTGTATTACTTCAAACTTACAAGAACTCCTACTCCCCGAACTAACATAGGAGCTTCTAGTAAGCTTCCCAAACTCACAAGTATCACACTGAAGTTTCTGCTTATTTACTTTTTCAAACAGAGTTGGATACATTTTTCCCAAAATTCCGAATGACGGGTGTCCCATTCGTTGATGATAGAGCATCAATTCATCTTCTGCACACATTTTAGCTCCTCCTGTTCCCGTCCTCTCAATTACAGATGTTAGCGCTGAGTCCATCCCTTCGCGGTCCAAGTACCACAGTCCACTACGTCATGTCCCAGTCCCAAGTCTTCGCCCTGTCCCCTTCTCCCGGAAGACCACCTTGGGAATATCAAAAGAACATGTCCCAGTCCCAAGTCTTCGCCCTGTCCCCTTCTCCCGGAAGACCACCTTGGGAATATCAAAAGAAACAATACAATTTAGTTGGAGGATAATGGCGCTAATGGATAACAGGCTAACAGGAAATGAAGGAGCATGCAGAACATTAGATAAAGTTATAGAACCTGTACAACTAACGGTGCCCTTACCAACCACAGCCTGTGCTGTACCATCAGCGATCTGGATGCTCTCTGATTCTGCCAAGTGAGTATAAGATGAGAACTCACTGGCATTACCTGTCACATGTCTGGATGCTCCAGAATCCATTATCCAGGCAGTGGATCTTCCCTCGTTTGGGTGTGCACGAAGAGCGTAATTTGCATAGTCTCCTCCAGGGAAAGTAGTAAATTCCTCCTCAGACACATTACCTACTGCTCTCTACTTCCTCCTCAGCGCTGCCAAGAGCGCCCGATCCTCATCGGTGAATATCATCTCAGCTTCTTCTTCTCTTTCTGCCACTGTCAAGTTTGCTCGGTGGCCTCCTCTTCCACCTCGCCTGCCTCCACGGCCACGACCACGGCCTCCAACCTGACCACGTCCACCCCACTCCTTAGGTGGTTTAGGGCACATATGTCTCAGATGCCCTACCTCTCCGCAGTTGAAGCACTGCCTCGTCTCTCCTCTGAATCCAGTGTTACCTGGGTTAGAGACCACCAGTGCAGACTTTTCCCCTGTAAGTCCACCTGTCCCAGCCTGTAGCCTGATACGGCTCTCCTCCTGTATCATGGCCGAGACTGCCTCCTCTAGTGGTGGGATCTTCGTTTGGGTCAGTAGCAATGCCGTCCTCTGCTCATATGCTGGAGCCAAGCCTCAGAGAAATAACATGGTCCTCCTCTGCAAAGAGGCCTCGCGTTCCTTACACTCCGGGTCCTTGCAACTAGCTAGGGGCGAGAAGTGATCGTGATCAAGCCACAAGCGCTCCAGCTCTGTGGCGTACTCCTGTACAGTCCTCTCTCCCTGGACTGTAGTGCTGATCTCCTTCTCGATTTGGAATACCCTCAGGTTATTCCCCACCCCATCGTAGGTCCTCCTCAGCTTCTCCCAGACATCCTGCACCTTCCCAAGGCCATCCACTGTGGCAGCAATTGGCTGGACTACAGAATTCAGGAGCCAGATGTACACCAGCATATGAGTAGACTTCCACTCATCTCTCCTTGCGGAGCCCTCTGCCGGCTCAGTCTTCTCCCCCGTCAGATATCCCTCCAGGCTCCTCCCGGCAAGGGTATATCTCACCCGACGCGACCAACTCAGATATGTCGCGGGTCCATCAAGCTTTACATCGATAGGTGGAAGCTCCACCTTCTTGGGTGGTGGTGGCGGCTTTGTCGAGCTCTCTCCCGCCGACAACTTCATCAGTTGCATCAATGTTGAAATCTCCTCAGGATTCAGCTTCTTGATGATCTCTTCCATCGGATTTCTGCCGGTCTCCGTCATCGATCCGACCAATGCAATCCACAAGATATTATCAGAGATCCCAAACTACAAACAGACAACCGAATCCTCACAGACTCAATCTCCCCAAATCAAACATTAAATGTTATCTTGCTTTAAAATCCGTAATGTTTCAAACGGAAGGAGGCCAACATTTAAAGGAAATGTTCTCTTGCTTTAAAAATCCTCACAGACTCAATTTTTTTTTTTAAAGACTGTCAGCAGCTGCTCATAACCACCCAAAGTCACGAGATCTACCTTCCCAAGGAACGGAGCTCCATCAACAGTCTCATCATCAAACCCTCGTCTTCCTCCCCTCTTCCCTCTGACCCAGCCCCCCAACGAGATCCAGATCTACGCCAGCGGCTTCGTCGGGAGGACACGTCGTCTGGTCGGCGGGTCTTCAGTCGTCGTCGTCCGCGGCAAGGATCTACAGCCGTCGAGGTACAGGAACCCGTCGCCGGTCGGGGGGGAAGAGGGCGACACCGACCCACTCCTCCCCACGCTTCGCCGGTCGGAGGGAGGATGTCAATAGGAGGAGGGGACGAGAGCAGCGGCAGCGTTTAGTGGCTCTGATACCATATTCAAAAGTTAGGGCTCAAAAGGATCTCAACTATTGATAGAATAGTTTTGGCTTATATAGCCTTACACACATTTACATATAAGCCCTCCAATATCCCTCAATTACATTAGCTTCTCAACAGCCTTGCTTCTAGAACTCGATGTGTTAAACTTCAGTCGATGCTGCTTACTTGTAACACAATGCTCGCAGAATCGAAGAGCTACCGAATTAAGTCCAGGAAGCAGCTTCTGATCGGAGAGAATCTTTAAGCCTCGTTCTGACATGTGATCTAGTTTGCGACGCCACATCATGGTTTGTTCTTCTCCACGGCTGGTTGATGTCACACATGAATCAGCTTCCTGCAGGGTTTCTCCCTTGAGCATGTACAGATTTACAGCTATCTTTTCTTCTTTTATCACCACAAGCGCCCCTCTAACAATCTTCATGATCACATTTTTGATATGGGTCTTGCATCCGAGCTCATCTAATTGTCTCAAAGACAATAAATTCTTCTTTAAGCCCTTCACATGTAGTACATCTTGAATGGTACGTATTGTACCATCAAACATTATGATTTTGATAGTGCCAATACTAGAAATCTCTAAGGTATGATCATTCCCTATGAATATAGATCCTCCTGAGATAGGTTCATATTTGTGAAACCATTCTCTCCGAGAAGTCATGTGCCAGGAGGCTGCTGAATTCAGAAGCCAGACATCAACAAACCTCTTTCTGCCTTCATCAACAGTGGTTGCTCCACTGAATAGAATTTCACCATGGTCTGATGTGCTGATAACGCATCCTTGAGATGTTGATGGTTTTGAAGACTTTTTATCTCTATTCTTCTTATTGTGCCAACACTCCAATTTGACGTGCCCTCTTTTGCCACAGTTGTAGCATTTGACATTCTTCTTACTTCTTGATTTGGATCTACCATGGGTATGACTCCTACTGGAGCCACGTTCCGTTGATCTCCCTCTCGTCACCGTTAAAAACCTCCGCTTGTTGAGAACTTGTCTGCATGTCTTCCTTATTCTTACGTCGATTTTCTTCCTCCAGAGCAGCGGCTGCAATATCGTCGAAGACTAGATTGTCCGTAAGGACGTTGTTTGTTAGGTTGATGATGAGTTGATCATACGAGTCAGGTAGACTATGAAGTAGAAGTTCTGCATGTTCATTCGTACCAATTGTATACCCTAACGTTGTGAGTTGGGAGAACAGTGTGTTTAGGGTGTTGATGTGGTCGGTCATCGATGTAGATTCCGCCATCCTAAGAGTGTAAAGTCTCATTTTTAAGAAGATTTTATTGTGCATGGATTTCGCCTCATATAGCTTTGTTAGAGTATCTCAGATCTCCTTTGTTGTCTTCTTCTCCTCTATGCTTGACAGCACCCCGTCTGCTAATGCCAGATGGAGATTTGCAATAGCATTTTTGTCCATCTCGTTCCACTTCTTATCATCTGTGATGTTGTCCGATCTTGCACTGATGGCCATCAGGCAATTATTTTTTCTCAAGATAGCCTTTATCTTCAACTTCCACAGTGAGAAATTACTCCCGTCGAATTTCTCGATTTTGAACTTTGCCGTCATTGCTTCTACCACGAACAGTAATTTCTTACTATTTCACGTAAATAGTAACGGTATTTATGAACCGTAACTGTATTTGTGAATAGTACCGTACTTGTGAATAGTACCGTACTTGTGAACAGTATCGTACTCGTGAATAGTATTCGTCGCCTTCAAATAGTAAATGATAACCTAACTTATTTTCTGATGTGGAGGATCCACCTTTGATGGCAGTCACAGAGCATACGATAAGTAGATATATACAAGCACCCTAAGTTGGCTCTGATACCACTTGTTGGGACAAACCCGAGGCCTAATAGAGCAGGATCGCAGCAATAGTAGAGATAAAAAGTTGGACACACAGATTTACGTGGTTCGGCACTTGATTGTTTACGTCCATGGGCAAGGATAGAAGAATCCACTATGAGAAGAAAACTCTGGAGTTACAATCTCTCTTTACAAGGAGATACTCTCTTTCTATTTTTTTCTCTCTTACTCTTCTATAAGAGAAGTTGTTTCTGGGATGAATTTTTCTTAAGAATTTGGAGCCTATTTATAGTGTTTTGGAAAACACTATGCATAATAAAATATTAATATTTTACTATACATTTATATTATAATAATGAAGTGGGGCTCGCTCTTTTATCCAAAGTCAAAAATAATTGCTTCACATGGGCTGCTGCTGACACTGATAGCATTAAAAAAAAGTTTATCTGATGACTGATAGCATGAAATCATTTATCTCATGAGTGACAGTTTGTGTTTTCTCAGTTGCACTTCCAATTAAGATGGAGAAAGGTGGCCCTAGAAATTCTCTCTTCGACCTCTGTCGAATACTTCAGTGGCCAATGCCAAGATTTGATTCTACTGAAGAGAAATTCAGGTTTGTACATTCTATGAATGAAAGATAAGATCTAGTCAGAAAATTTTAGCAACAATGAAAATTTTCCGGTCCAAGTTTCTTAAGTTCAGAACTGAAACTACGTGATTATCTCCCAATATATCTTTTTACAAAGATCTGTCTTCCATTGAACAGGAAACAAATATCACTGAATGGAGTGATGGGTTTCAACAGATATACATCAAGCATTACATTGCACGTGCCAAATTCTCCAGCATTCCATCTTGAGGGCGAGCCCCGAGCAGATAAGAAAAGCTCTCGAGACTCAGCTGCACTTGCCATGCTTCGAGCACTTGAAAAAATGGGCTTCTGTGTCTTAACAAAGTTGTAACGAGCAAATTATCATACGGAACCTGTACTGGGCTTTTTCTTCAACAATTTTGTTTGCTAGTTTAGTTCTGCGAGTTTGAAAACAAGTGGGGAAATCGCCTGTTTGAGATTTGTTTTGGACTGGTTTTGGCTAAGATTGACCTTTCATCACAAGCTATCGGTCATTTTGTTTATATGTAAATCAAAATCAAATAAATAACTATGCGACAAAACCTTTGTTTAGACGTGTGATGATTATGTGATAACTGCTTAAATTCCGTAGCTTTCGTAGCTCAGTTGGTTAGAGCACCCGTTTAGTAAGCGGGAGGTCTTGAGTTCGACTCTCAACGAAAGCAATTTCTGTTGTTGTTTTTTAGTATTTTGCTAAATGGCACTTACATACCCAGTCGTTTCATCTATTTTTTTTACCTATATACTCTCATTTGTATTTGGTAGCAATTAAATACGGTAAAGTTTTTTAAACTTGTATTTATATATCCTCATTTAATTTTAGTAGGACTTATATACCCTAAAGTTATTAAAACTAGCATTAAATATTCTAAAGTTTTTAAATCTGACAGTTAGATACTCTAAAATGTTTAAAATTTGCACTTAAATATTCTCAAGTTTGCATAACTGGCGATATCTATATGCAAGTTTTAAAAACTTTATAGTTTTTAAGTGCTAATTGTAAAAACATTAGGGCTAGCTTTTTTTAAACTTGGAGTTTTTTTGCTACTAATTACAAGTTTGGCTATAAGTGATATGTAGGTGAAACAATAATGTATCTAGATTTAGATCCTCTCCTAATGAAAAACTCCTAACATCTCCTAATAAGGAGATCTTACTCTTTTATTTTCATCATGACCTTTCATTTTCCCACCCATCCTTGTGGGCCCCCCTCCCAACTCTTCACAAATCTTCATTAGTAAATATTAGGATGAGGAGAGGATCCCAATTCCATTTCTTAACTTACTTCCGCTAAAATTTCTTCAACTATCTCCATAATTATCCAAAATAAAATATCTGATACCTGATTTTCCTCTGTTTATGGCGGAGACTGAAGATTTCTTAAGATTTTATTGTTATCCCATCTTTTCAATCCTTCTTTATAAACCCTTTCCCAAGGAAAACTATCCTCATCATCATCTTATCCACAAGAGAAAAAAAGAAAAAGAAAAGCCATTTCTTTCCGTATTTACCCAATTACCTTCCTTTTTTTACCCATAAGGATTAAAAAAAATTTCCATTACCCATTTTGAATTCCCCTAAAATTTAAAGCACAGAACTCCATGGGCTCCCTCGACGAGTTAGCGATGGGTTACTCTCTTCCTCACGATTCTCTCTTTCTCGGCTTCGATAGCTCGACTCAGTAAGTATAATTGATTATTATTTTCTCGGCGTTTTCCATTATTATTATTGCTAGAGCATCCTCCTAGATAGTTGACGTGTACAAGTGATGTGCTTGGTTTTGGGATTTTTATGATTTGGGTATTGGATTTTGGTGTTATAGTGATCATAATATATGTAGATAGTTAAATTTGAGCTTAGGGTTTTCTTCGATCAGAGATTAGAATAAATACAAGTAGATGGTTTTGGGTTTTTTTCGCACTTATCAATGTCTTTCTTCATTTCGGACCAGAACAAATACAAGAATGCACATTTAACTTCATCCCTTCTCGTTCTCTAGATTCCAAGAAAATGTTGGGTTTGGAATCTCATTGCTTGGATGCTGATTGTACACTGGATAGAGTACATCAGGATTAACTCAAATAGATTGATCTGCTTATCATTTCGAAAACAAGATGCTCTAATGTTTCTAGATTTCTTCATTGTGTATTTTATGGTAGAATCACATCTTGGTATTTGGGATATCAGAGTTTGATTCAGCTTGGTTATTGAATTGTGTATTATTAGAATTTTATTCGTCCATATATTTTTCCTTAAAAGAGGACTGGCTGAACTGAAGGAATGAAATAGCATTTCATAAATTTCATTCTTTTATTTCACAATTATGAATTGTTAGCATCAAAGGATGCCAATTAAATAACTTTTTGATCTCTATCAACAGGTCACTGAAGGCAACGGTGCTCGATGCTAACCTCACCATCGTTGCTTCCGAAACTATACATTTTGATTCTCAGTTGCCACACTACAAAACGAAAGATGGGGTTTACAGAGACCCCATAGAGGATGGGAGAATAGTTTCCCCTACATTGATGTGGGTGGAGGCTCTCAACACTCTCCTTGAAAAACTTAAATTGAAGCTGGACTTCAGCAAGGTTATCGCCATATCAGGAAGTGGGCAGCAACACGGCAGTGTTTACTGGAAAAAGGGAAGTTCAGCGACATTGGCCTCTTTGGATCCTAGCAAGCCTTTAGTGTCTCAACTTGCCGAAGCTTTCTCTACCAAAGAATCACCAGTTTGGATGGATAGTAGTACCACTTTGCAATGCAAAGAGATTGAGAAAGCTGTTGGCGGTCCATTGGAGGTGGCGAGACTTACAGGGTCTCGTGCTTATGAGAGATTTACAGGACCTCAAATTCGAAAGTTATATGAGACGAAGCAAGATGTTTATAATGATACTGAGAGGATCTCGCTTGTTAGTTCTTTTATGGCATCTCTTTTGATTGGGAGGTATGCTTGTATTGAATGAGACTGATGCAGCAGGAATGAAATTGATGGATATTAAAGAGCGTGTGTGGTCTAAGATTGTCATGAAGGTAGGTTTGTTATTAGGACTCTTTGATTACAAAGTTAATCCTAGTTTATACTTTTCTTAATTTACTTTTTTGTTATAGGCTACTGCTCCAGGACTGGAAGAAAAACTCGGCAAACTGGCACCAGCTCATGCAGTTGCTGGTCCAATAGCTCGTTATTTTGTGGACAGGTGTGTTAAAAGTCGCTCTCAGATCTCATCATAAAATTGAATATTCACTTGCAAAGAATTACGTAGATTTTCCAGGATAATTGCTGTAATGGTCACATATTGGTATTAACTACCATATTTGACCTTAAATTTATTAATAATTATGCTCTCTGAAATATGTATTTGATGAGCTTATATAGAACTACATATGTTTTGTAAAGGGGAAAAAAAACTAAAACTACGGTATTCTGGCGGATTTTGATACTATTCAGATTTGGATAACATCTCACAGACTAGAATATGGATATTGTCTTTATAAATCCGTAGAATGTGGGAGACGGTTCGGGTAATAGTTAATCTTTTAGTTTCATATTCAAATATCAGGATATATGCTCTGAATTTCCTGTGCTAACATCCCTATACCCTCATATAATATAATTTCATAAATAGACAATGCATGATATTGGTATTACTGATTCTGATTTTATTAAAAACAAACAGGTATCATTTCAACGATAGTTGTCTGGTTATTCAGTGGTCTGGAGACAACCCGAACAGTTTAGCAGGTGTGTCAAGCTTTACTGTTAGTACTTTTCAATTATGTTAGCTTTATAAATTCAATTTTCCGGATTTTGTGGGATTTACGATTTGCCGTTCAGTAGTTTCTTGCAAGCTGTCTGGCATTCAAAAGTTCAATCAAACCTTTCATGAGATTTCATCTGATCCTGAACTTTTAAAAGATAGACAAGTGGAACTTACACCTCCTATCAACGCGAATCAAAACCAAATATCGATATTGGCCTTATTTGAGTTCCTGATAATTTCAAGCCGACTTCTTCAGTAGCCTTTTGTCTAACTTCCATCTCTTTTTGCAGCACAATCTCTGACTAGTAGTATACATGTTGATGATGGCTAGTCCATCTGAAAATTATGTTTGAACCCTTTAGATAATTTTCCAACTTGCGGGATTATCCTATTTAACATAAATGTTAACAATCAATTATAAATTATCTACAGGATTATTGATATTGACCCACTAGAGCATCAATCAGTGTGAAGGCTGGTCTACTCATGTCTATATTTCAACTTAATTCTTAGAATGATAATAATAGTTAACTTGAACTTGTTTAATAAAATTTGACAAAATTAGTTTCCCCCTTGAATATGAGCATGTTGGAAGATATACTTTTATTGAAAATGAAGAGTAGGCTAAAGTTCCTGCTCTGAGAATCATTGAACTCTGGAAAGAAACAAACATCACTTGCTTGATTATGTCACTTTGTAGGCTTAGCTTAGTTTGTTCGCATCTAAATTTCAAATTATTGTCTGGAGTTGTTGCAACAACTAACTTCATCTTTTAAGTATGATTTAGCCTACTAATCTACCATGAACTTTCTAAATTATGGAGCTTTTCTGACCTATTCCACAAAGTTCTGGTAGATTATCCTCTGTTATCTTGCTATTAGTGAACATACCATGTGACCTGTAAGTGATAGTCTACCGGACGAGATTTTCCTTAATATATCATGTGTTTTACATGCTGCATCTTATATAAAATTTTACAGGAAAGTAGATTATTGTAGCTTATTTTCTCTCACTAACGCTGTAAGGGATTTTTTTTTTAAAAATAATAGAAAGTTCACGATAGAATCAGAGATTACTCTAATTTTCAAAGTGTATGGTAGTGTAGTGCGAAAGAAGATAAAGTTCATTATAGTTAATGTATAATTTAGTCCTTTTCTCTCTAAATTGTCACTTTTCACTAATAGAGAGGAATTGTTTAATCGATGTGGTGTATATTATATACTTGACTACGCATCAGCCTATAAGTTTTTTGTTCTCTACAGGTTTGACTCTGAATACTCCTGGTGATCTGGCAATAAGTCTTGGAACCAGCGATACCGTAAGTAAACATCATAGCTTCTTCGTGATGTAGCAACGTTTCGTTTTATCTAATTCGAACTTGGTGGTGGTACTCATATGACTTCTTGTTGTTCCTGTTATAGGTGTTCGGAATAACAAATGAGCCCCGACCAAGTCTAGAAGGGCATGTTTTTCCTAACCCTGTTGATCCAAAATGCTACATGGTTATGCTCTGTTTCAAAAATGGCTCTTTAACTCGAGAAGGTTCTCCATCTGGGCTTAAATTTTTAATTTCATAATGGCTTCTCATATCAGCACCTTTGTAATGACAGCTAACTACATAATGTTTGTTACTGTAGATGTGCGTAATAGGTGTGCAGAAAGCTCTTGGGATGTGTTCAACGAAACATTGGAGAAAACACCTGCACTCAATGGTTTGTTTATTAGTTCTATTTGCCTTCTCTGCGTGTTTTTGGATTCTTGTTTTATCTTCTGATTTTGTATCTGAATATGCTGTTAAGCAATTTCAATTGAATTGTATACTTATATTAAAAAATATACTTATATACTTCAAAAGTCAGGTGACCTAGGGTTTCTTGTATATTAAAGTTTCACTGATGTTTTAGTTTGCTGTGCATCTAGTAATTGGTCCATGCATTTCCCGCATGCTTTATGAACTATTATTCTGATAATTACTTTACTTTCTGTCATTTCAGGTGGAAAATTAGGTTTCTTTTACATGGACCATGAAATTCTACCTCCCTTGCCAAGTTAGTTTCAACTTGTATTTTTTTCTCTTATATTTCCTAATTGACGTGCAGTTATTCAGATATCGTTACTAAAGACATTGCCTTCTGACCAACTATTGCATCCATATGTAGTTGGATACCACCGCTATGTGATCGACAACTTCACTGGCAACTCAATAGATGAGATGAAAGCACGCGAGATTGAGGAGTTTGATTCTCCTTCAGAGGTTAGTATCCTTGGCACTAAACAAATATTCATTCCGTGTTTTCATAAGAATGTTAAAAAGATGACCTTCATTTTTTTTAATGCAGGTGCGAGCGATCATAGAAGGGCAATTCCTCTCTATGAGAGGCCATGCTGAGAGATTCGGCATGCCAACTCCTCCCAAAAGGATAATAGCAACTGGTGGGGCTTCATCAAATGACTCCATCCTTAACTCCATAGCTAGCATTTTCGGTTGCCCTGTCTATACTGTTCAAAGACCTGGTATATATCGTTCCAAGCATTCAATCTCTTTTTCAAGTAAAATATCATATTTATTGTCGACGATTTTACCCCTCCAATCAATGACAGATTCTGCTTCCTTGGGTGCTGCATTGAGGGCTGCACACGGATGGTTGTGCAACAAAGAAGGCAAATTTGTGCCGAGCTCAGCACTTTATGAGGGCAAAATAGAGAAAACCTCTCTAAGCCCTAAGCTCTCGAAGCCTGCTGGAGACAAGGAGCTCCTGTCCAAGTATGCGTTGCTGGTGAAGAAGAGAATGGAAATTGAGAAGGATTTAGTCGAGAAGTTTGGACGCAAATAAAAGCTGGGCAAATCCTCTCACCTTCAGTTTGACTTGCAAAGATCGTATATAGTTAATTTGAGATTGGTCTTATTTGATGTTTGCTAATAAGTTTTGGCTGCCAATTGAAGTGACCAGGGGTAATAAGCTTATTAAGCTGTATGGTATCTCTTAGTTACTTTTCTTTATGTTCCTGAAAATGCTCTTCTCAGTTCATTTTTTTTTTTTTTTACATATTAGTACTCAATTATGAGCTTTATTTGAAAGGGGCCATAAACATATGGGTATTTCCCGATCTAAGTAGGCAACCGAAAGTGTATGTTTTAAGCGAAAACAGACCCCATGCGGTGTCCCCAAATTGCAATCGCCTTAGTTTTATTTGATGCTAAAAATAGAACTCATGTGGGTCTATTTCTTGTGAAAGGATCCCCTTGGGGTCCTGGCCCAAGTGCCAATATAACACCTTCTGAACGTTTTCAACCATTTTAAAAGGAAAAAAGTCTAGTAGTTAGGTGTCTATACTCATCAATAGAACAATAGGGGGATCTATCGCCTGCTGAGATATCTTTAGCGATTTTAAGAGTCAGAAAAATAAAATAAAATCATTCATTGGGTCTATCCGCAGCAAATAGAACTACATTGTGTCTCTTCGCAATTGGGTGATACTAAGGGAGTTGGTTTGCAGTTAAACCATCATTCCTATCCCATTTTCTTCAGAGACTCGTTCCGATCCGACTACGACTAAACAATTTTGTTATTTGTCGGAAGTAATCCAGATGCCAGTCCTTCACAAGCGTAAGTTGAGATCCGAAAGGCAAAAGCAAAATGATGATTATCCTCTCTCAGGTCCAAAGCAAAAATCACCTGGTAAGTGGCGAGATATCATCTGGCCAACTACTAATTATTCCCTTTGTTCTCAAGTTTGATATTTACATGTCGAACATCTTATATTGTTATTTGATCGCATCAGACTGATAATTCTAAGGACCTAACAATTATTCCTTTTTTTTAATCCTTGTTATAATTATTCACTTCGCTCTCAAAGTTTGATAATTACATGTCAAACATCTGATTATATACCCTTTGTTATTGCATGAACATCTATCTACTATCGATCTTCGTTCTCATTCAGACTGATTTTACCGACTAAGGGTATTCTGATATAATTTTTTTCTCCTAATTATTGCACTTCATTCTTATTCAGAATGGTTTTTTACTGATTTAAGGACATAAAAATTATTCTTTGATATTACACGTCAAACATTTGTTTATTGCTCTTTGCTCTCATTCAGAAAGATTTTATCGCCAGAACAGGCTAACAGGCCATCATCATAGCTCCAGAGAAATCCATCAATTTTTTCAGCTAAAAAATTTACAACACTACACATTAATGCGGCAATCAGAAAGATAGCAAGCAAAGTTCACCTAAGAAAATTAATAAAACACGCAGTAGAAACAGATAAACGGAACCAATCATAAAAGCAATTTTAGAAACAAAGCATCGTATAGCAGTAGATTAGGCACAGCCAATATTGATATGAAAGCATAGCAGGAGATAACATGGACCCACAGCTAAAAGCCTTAAACAGGACTCGGCCAAACAAAAGACGAGACCAGAACAGACAGCAAACAACCTAGACAGCCACCACGGAAACACGCAAGAAGAAACGGGCAGCAAGCAGCTACCTCAATACTCATCACCCTCATCACCATCCTCACCTTCAGCAGACTCAGCCCCAACCTCCTCATAATCCTTCTCCAGCGCGGCGAGGTCCTCTCTCGCCTCCGAGAACTCCCCTTCCTCCATACCCTCACCCACGTACCAGTGCACAAACGCACGCTTGGCATACATCAGATCGAACTTATGATCAATCCTCGAGAACACCTCAGCAACACTGGTCGAGTTAGAGATCATGCAAACAGCCCTCTGAACCTTAGCCAAATCTCCACCGGGCACCACAGTAGGAGGCTGGTAGTTGATACCGCACTTGAATCCAGTAGGGCACCAGTCGACGAACTGGATGGTTCTCTTGGTTTTAATGGTGGCCACTGCCGCGTTGACGTCCTTTGGGACAACATCACCACGGTACATGAGGCAGCAAGCCATGTACTTTCCGTGGCGAGGGTCACACTTGGCCATCATAGAGGAAGGCTCAAAGGCGCTGTTGGTAATCTCTGCGACTGAGAGCTGTTCGTGGTAGGCCTTCTCCGCTGAAATGACAGGAGCATAGGAGGAAAGCATGAAGTGGATTCTTGGGTACGGGACTAAGTTGGTCTGGAACTCAGTAACATCCACATTGAGGGCGCCATCAAACCTGAGGGAGGCAGTCAGAGATGAGATCACTTGAGAAACGAGGCGGTTGAGATTGGTGTAGGTTGGGCGCTCAATGTCAAGGGAACGCCTGCAGATGTCATAGATAGCCTCATTGTCGAGGAGAACAGCTACATCGGTGTGCTCCAAAAGGGAGTGAGTGGAGAGGACACTGTTGTAGGGCTCAACAACAGAGGTGGAGACCTGGGGGGATGGGTATACGGTGAACCCGAGCTTGGACTTCTTACCATAGTCCACAGAGAGACGCTCAAGAAGAAGAGAACCCAGGCCTGAGCCAGTGCCTCCACCAACAGCATTGAACACAAGGAACCCCTGAAGGCCAGTGCAGTTGTCTGCAAGCTTCCTGATTCGGTCGAGGCAGAGGTCAACAATCTCCTTGCCAACTGCAAAACAACATTTTGAGAGGGTGGATCAGAACAAAACGATCATACAAATTGACTAATTTCCGAGATTTGTGATCTGGATTATTACTGGTATAGTGGCCGCGGGCAAAGTTGTTGGCAGCATCCTCTTTCCCGCTGATGAGCTGCTCAGGATGGAAGAGCTGACGGTAAGTTCCAGTCCTCACCTCATCAATCACAGTGGGCTCGAGATCGACGAAGACAGCACGGGGCACATGCTTCCCAGCGCCAGTCTCACTGAAGAAGGTGTTGAAAGCATCATCACCTCCTCCAACAGTCTTGTCACTCGGCATTTGGCCATCAGGCTGGACAAGGGAATTTAAAGTTTCAGTTTACGATGATCAGTATATAAATGTACAATACAAACAACATAGGATAACTACTGATGATCAACGCAAAATCATGTCAGGTGAGTGAATGTGAAGCTGAAAAGATTTAAGAGTAAAACAGGCATCAGCTAAGATACTGTCAACAAGTGAAAATTGTTCGACCACATGAAGTTTGCTGAAACATTGATGTAATTAGCAAATCGGGCTTAATATATGACAGATCTATTTAATCGGTGCAAATATACAAAGAATGATATCAACATCCTAGCGTGCATGAGATCTACCATTATAATAACAAGGACTACAGACCAACAGATCTAGCAAAAACTAAGAAAATCAAACACATTTCTCCAGAGTTAAAGATATCATCAATTTCGCAAATATAATCTTAGTATAGTTAACCAACACAAGATCTATAAACTACTCAACAAATTCTTCAAAATTATTGTAAATGTTCGGATCTAAATGAATAAGATTGAAATCGCAGCATTCAACTTCAAATCTATATAGAAACCCTAGATCTGATGTAAAGATTAACGATTATCAAGCTAGACAGGAAATTGTGCCTGATGAAACAAATTTACAGAAATATCCCTAAACGTTGATAGATCTAACGATATAGGAACAATATGATCCAATCACGCAAACAAATTATAAAATCTAGCATTACGAACGCTGATCTGCGAGTTTCCAACGCAGGGTCAAAGATCTATGAAGAAACAGTTAAAACTCAACGAATCTAACATCAAAATACATAGATTAAGCCATCTCCTTCACTTAATTTAACAAATTCATTAAACAACAGAAAATCAACGAAAAATCGAGAAAAAGCAACAGATCTAGAGATTTGATCCAACCTGGATCCCGTGCTCGAGGCAGTACAGCTCCCAGCAAGCATTTCCGACCTGGATCCCAGCCTGTCCAATGTGGATCGAGATGCACTCTCTCATTTTCGATGAAAAAGGGAGCAAATCAAGATCAAAATCTAAAGAAATCTAAAGGTAGAAGAAGCAGGCGAACAAAGAGAGACTGAAGAAATTCTAGAGGTAGGCGTTTGCAAAGACGCCTTCCGATGATCTTTGCCTGGCTTCCTCTCTGGGGATTTTATAGGGAAAACTACGAAGCAAACCCTAGATTTTTTATTTTTTATTTTTTAATCTGAGTTTGTTCACCATGGTTAACTTTTAGACGGCTGCCAGCGGCGAAAACCTCGCTGGACAGCCTAAGTGCCTAACCATGGTTAAAGTTGTATAACTTGCCGCCCGAGCTTTTTTTAATTAATTTCAAATGATTTCCTTGGCGTAGTAGATTTACTAGAATGCCCCTATGTTTAACCGTTGTTTAGGTTGTGCCTGCGAGTAAAGTTAACGGCTGTCGTTACGCTCGATGGGACTACGCAACGGCTCGCATTTTGAAATTTGAGAAGGTGCCGAAAGTGCGGACCCACGTGGAGGCCCGTTTGGTTGTATGTTTTTACCATGTAAAATGATGGAAAGTGTAAAAAAATGGGTCCCAATGTCAGCTTTCATCACTTTCAATTGTTTGTTTGTAATTGTGAAAATAGTGTAAATTGGTTTCATATGTTGACGTGGCTTGTAAAGTGATTTCATAAAAAAAGACATGATTTTAGAAGAAAACTGACATTGAAGTCAGGAAAAAGTAATTCCAACCAATATGATCACTTGAGTAGGGACCACTTTTTACACTTTTCAAACAAACAATTAAAGTTTTATTTTGCAAACCAAACAAGTGTTTTATGATTCCAATGGAATCAAAAACAAACAAAAAAAAGTGTAAAAATGAAAATGATGAGGTGGACAACAACTTTCCAAGTTGTGTCATAAATGCACAATTTTACAAACAACAACCAAACAGCCCCGCGGGGGACGAGAAAAAAAAAAGAGTGGATGAGGAGCTGTTTGGTTCACATATCAAAATTTTAAAATGCGTAATCTTACAGAAAACTTCAAATCTATAGTGTTTTATATATGTTTTAAAATTTTCAATATTTTATTTATGATTCAATATTATATAGAAAAATAAATTCGGACATGTATTTTTATTACTATGAAATTAATATTATTACTAGAAAAATAAAATTTATAATATATTATTTGATTTAAACCCAAATTATAAGATAACAAATTCTAAAAAAGAAGGAAAAGTAAATATACTTGGTTACCTCCCATAAGAAAATAAAATACGTGGGTATAGAAAGAGAGATAAGCATACCCATTTATGATATTTAGTAAATCCTCTCCAATTGAGAGAATTCTTAAAATGCTAAAAACTAAGTGTTTTTTACATTTTAAGAATCAATATTCTAAAAAAATTATTGAAACAAACATCAAATATGGAATCCTAAAACCAAAAAAAAAACATACTTTTTGATCCCAAAATTTATAATCAGTACCAAATGCTAGATTTTTGCTTGAACTAAACACCCTCTAAATGAATCTAGGTTAATGAATCTAGGTTTGGCCTTAAAGTCTCATTTTGAGAAGAATTTTGTTTGTGAAAAACTAGGTCAAATTGGGCTCTTTTTTCCTAAGTCTAAAATGTATCCCCTAAACTAGTTCTCTTCTATGGACCACGAGGGGGTTTGTTTTAAAAAAAATAGTTTAGAACAAAATTGGACCAAGAACTCGGTCAAGATTGATCCCGGCCCAATTTTATAAGGATTGTCAAATACATAAAGTTTGGTAAACGGATTATGTACACCTTGACATAGGATATTTGCAGATGAAGATAAATTTCTATTCCATTATTTTATTTTATTTTATTTTTTTGGTAAAGAGGAAAGGAAAAAAAACAATAACGAAAAATCATTCCACTCTTAACACTTCAGGAAAGGAAAATATGAGTACAGACTAGGTCTGTCCATTTGGCCCGGCCGGGTCCGAGCTCCGAGCCCGGCCGGGTTTAGCCCGGGAACCCGGGCCAGACCGGGTTTCGGGCCCTGGTACGAGCCATCTCATCGGCGCCCGGCCCGGTGCCCGGTCGGGATGCAACGATCACATAATATGACCGTTATATGACCATTGCGAGCAAATGTCGGGCCGGGCCAACCCCCGGAATTAACA